CCCAGGAGATGCCACAGGAATTTTGAGCCTCGGGAACAAGTTGGTCCCTGATGCAGCTGACAGTGGCACCAAAAACTTCCGCTGGAAAAGCTGATCCAGGCCTCAAAAAAAAACTCCAGAAGAATTTCAAGTCATCCCTGTTCCCTCATTTTCTCCATCGCTCAGGGAATCTCATCATAAAATCCTGGAATCGGAAGGGACCAACCAGGATCATAGAAGTCCAAGTCCTGGCCTTGCACTTGGGTTTCCCATCCCAGTTCCCACAGCCTGGGCTTCAGGAGTCTCAGGGGTGGTTTGGGATTGTCAGGGAGGTGATCCTGGCACTTCCACAGCTCCAGAATGTTCCGTCCAGATTCCAAGCCGGAGTCATGAGGGGAAATGGCTCCTCCACCATCCAAATCTCCCCCTTCCTTTGAAATTCCCAGCTTTTGGGACCACAAAACCCAAAACCAGAAAAACTGGCACACCCAGGTGGCTCCAGAAAAGAGGGAATTTGGAGTTGTGGCTCTCTGGAAGTGGAGCTGCTTATCCAGAGTTTGGATGAAGCCTGAAATCGATCCCTCACACTGAGACACAACACAAATCATCAAAACCACCAAAAAATGGCAAATGAACCCAATTCAGAGCTGCTCCACTTTTCCAACAAAGTATTTTCCCTCGGGACAGAGTTTAGGGATACGGGACTTACCAAAAAGCCTTCCCAAGTCTTTGGAATTACTGGAGATTTTGTGGAGCAAAAAAAACCCCTCCCCATCATGGAATGAGGGAATCCCAGGATGGTTTGGGTTGGAAAGGACCTTGAGGATCATCCATGGGCAGGGACAGCTCCCACGGTCCCAGGCTGCTCCAAGCCCTGTCCAAGCCTCGGGATCACAGCAGGGACATTCCCGGTGGGATTCATCCCACAGAGCTCCAGCCATCAAATCCCACAGGGATACTCCAGGGGCTGGAGCCAGGCTGGAGAGCTGGGAATGTTCCCCTGGAGAGGAGAAGGCTCCAGGGAGAGCTCAGAGCCCCTGGCAGGGCCTGGAGGGGCTCCAGGAGAGCTGGAGAGGGACTGGGGACAAGGCATGGAGGGACAGGACCCAGGGAATGGCTCCCAGTGCCAGAGGGCAGGGATGGATGGGAGATTGGGAATTCTTTTCCTTTTCCCTTTCCTTCCCTTTCCTTCCCTTCCCTTTCCTTTCCTTTCCTTTCCTTTCCTTTCCTTTCCTTTCCTTTCCTTTCCTTTCCTTTCCTTTCCTTTCCTTTCCTTTCCTTTCCTTTCCTTTCCTTTCCTTTCCTTTCCTTTCCTTTCCTTTCCTTTCCTTTCCTTTCCTTTCCTTTCCTTTCCTTTCCTTTCCTTTCCTTCCCTTCCCTTCCCTTCCCTTCCCTTCCCTTCCCTTCCCTTCCCTTCCCTTCTTTTCTTCTCTTCTTTAATTTTTTTAAGGAATTTGGCCCAAGGTATTTCCTTGTAAATTGGAACACGATTTTTTCTTTTCATGATTTCCATGGATTAAAATAAAAAAAAACCACCAAACAAACAAACCCCAACCGTGGTTACAACCAAGGAGAGAGAGGGGGAGGAAACCTCACCCCATTCTCCAGGGGTGTTTATGAGCTTAAGTCTTCCCAATTTTTTTTTTTTTAATGGAAATGTAGAAAAAGATGCATTTCAGGAGTTTTTCCCTTTTTTTTTTTTTTTTTTCCCCTGGCCCCACCCCCCCCTTCATCCCTCCATCCCTAATGGCTCTCCCAAAAAACATCCCGTGGGCATTTGCTGCAATAAAGCACAAAAACGAGGCCAAACCGCCCGAGAGGAGCCAAACCCAAGCCGGAACGGGATTTTTCTCACTCTGGGAATTTGCTGTGCTTGGAAGCGGCAATCCATTAAAAAAAAAAAAGTGTGGAAAACCAGGGAGCCCTAAGGACACGGAGAGCAGCTGGCATCGGGATCGGGAGTTTCGCTCCGAGGATACAACAGGGGCGGCTTCCAAGATGTTTCCTCTCTCTTTTTGGGAAGCGTTTGCCCAGCTTGACTCACCTCCGGGAGCTGGGAAGGCTCTGGAGAGGATGTGGGCAAGGAAGAATTCCCAAATCCAGGAATCTCCTCTGATGATCCACGGGGAGTTTGGAGGTTGTTCCAGAGGGAGCCATCCCTGAGATTCTCCGGAACCTCCATTCTGGGTCCTGTTCCCACATTTGGCACCTGGGACACGGAATTCCCGTTTGGAATCCCTCAAATCCCTCAAATTTTGGGATTCCCCTATGGAACTTCAAGCTGGTGTGGGATTCCAAAGAGTTTGGGATCTACGGCCAGCAGTAGGAGTCAGGAATACGGCACAAAAAATCCCAAAGAATCCCAGAATGGTTTGGGGTGGAAGGGATCTTATGGATCATCCCATTCCAATCCACTTCTCATGGAAAAAGGGGCTTGGAGCAACCTGGGATAGCCTCTGGAACCTCCATTTTGGGTCCTGTTCCCACATTTGGCACCTGGGACATGGAATTCCCGTTTGGAATCCCTCAAATCCCTCAAATTTTGGGATTCCCCTATGTGGAATCCCACACCAGCTTGAAATGCCAGAGTTCGGGATCCAGAGCCAGCAAAACGAGTTGGGAATAGGGCACAAAGAATCCCAGAAAATCCCAGAATGCTTTGGGATGGAAGGGACCTTAAGGATCATCCCATTCCAATCCACCTCTCATGGAAAAAGGGACTTGGAGCAGCCTGGGACAGTGGGAAGTGTCCCTGGGGATGGGGCTGGATGATCCTGAGAAATCCCTTCTGCCCCAATCCATGTGGGAATTCCATCCAGCAGCACCTCCAGCTCCTGCTTTCCAGCTGGGTGTTCCCACCACGTCCTGATTCCCGGGATTGCTCCTCCCCAGGGCAGGATTTCTTCTTGTAAAATCCACGAGGATCCCACCAGCCCATTTTTCCAGGATTTTGAGGCTCCTCTGGAATATCAGCCACTCTTCCCAGCCTCGCTGAAGATCAAGGAATTCCAGAATGGTTTGGGTTGGAAGCTTTAAGCTCATCCTTCCAGCAGGGAATATTTTCCATATTTTCAATCCCAAAACCCAACCCCACAGAATCCATGAAATCCCATTCCACAGGAAAACAGGGATGGATTTTTTCCCCGCAAATTCCCAGCCAAGTGATGACAGGAGAGAAAAAAATCACAATTCCAAGAGATTTAATAAGAAGGAATTACAGGTGGAAAATCCTTCTGGCACATGGAATTCAGCCAATGTACAGCTCCAGGATGGGTTTCCCAAGGAATATTCCAAGGTTTTTTGGGATATGTTGGACTCAACACAACCCACAAAATACGGAGTCGGTGCTAAAACCACACGACAATAAAAAATATGGCACAGAGAACACCCAAAAACCACTCAAATCCCAAAGATTTCCTTTGGGGAATTCTGGGTTGGACTCGTCCCACTCCCAGATCCCATCCCAGCCTCAACAAACACGGATTTGGCGCCAAATCCACTTGGAAATCCATGGAAAAATGAGATGCAGGACGTTCCTTCTCCTCTCAGGACAAACCAGCAGCAATTTGGGGGTGGGGAACAACAGGAGGAACTCCGGAGGATTTTATTCCCAGGAAATAACTGATGGATACGGAATTATCACCGGATTTTCCAATAAAGTGCATGCCAGGAAAAACTTGGAATAAATCTTACTCCAGTCCTAACTAAGCTGAAGGAATACAAACCTTGCAAACAACACCCTCGACAGGTTTCGGTGTCTTTTTCTCCCCAAAATTAGGCTGGATTCCAAAAAAATGGGAAAAATTCCCGCGGAATCCAAGGATTTGAAGCTTCACTGTTTAAAAATATTGCACTGAAAGTGTCGGATTTGAAAGCAACACCAAAAATACCTAAACTAAAATAAAAAAATAATTTAAAAATAAATATTTAACAGCAGCTCCCTGGAGTTAAAGGAGCTGGAAAAGGTAGGGATTGATGAAACGGGAATTTTTCCTGTGGAATATCAAAAATTTCAGAGGGGAATCTCTGCTCTCAACGGAGCCAAGTGTAAACTTCAGACTTTAATTGAAAATATTCCCTTTTTTTTTTTAGGAATTCTGGAAAAGCCTTGAAATGTTTCATCACCACTGAGTGCAAATAAATAAAAAAATCAGCATCAGCTCCAAAGGGTTTTAGGGAAAGAGCTGGAGAGGGAATTCATGGGCTGGAAAGCAGCAAAATGAAAAAGCACATTAATGAGTGAATCAATTAATTAATGAATTAAGTCAGGTTTTGTCACATCCCTTCCTATTTACAGGGTTTGGCAGTGGAGAATCCACGAGTTCTGTTTCATCCCAATTGGAAATTTGGATCTTCCCACCCAAAAAAAGCTTCCAAACCTCATCCAAGATCCAAACCTTCTCCAAGATCTAAACCTCATCCAAGGTCCAACCATCATCCAAAATTCCAACACTGTTCAAGATCCAACCATGATCCAAGATCCAACCATGATCCAAGATCCAACCATCACCCAAGATCCAAACCTCATCCAAGGTCCAACCATCCAAGATCCAACCGTGGTCCAAAATCCAATCATTATCCAAAATCCAATCATTATCCAAGATCAAAATGTGATCCAAGGCCCTCATCTAAGATCCAATCATCCAAGATCCATCCATCATCAAACATCCAAACCTCATCCAAGATCCAAACATTATCCAAGATCCAAACATTACCCGAAATCCAAACACTGTCCAAGATCCAAGCTTCATCCAAGATCCAACCATCGTCCAACATGCAAACTTCATCCAAGATCCAAACACTGTCCAAGGTCCAACCATCATCCAAGACCCAACCATCCAAGATCCAACCATGGTCCAAGATCCAATCATTGTCCAAGATCCAACCCTCATCCAAGATCCAAACACTGTCCAAGGTCCAACCCTCATCCAAGATCTAAGCATCCAAGATCCAATCATTATCCAAGATCCAAACACTACCCAAAATCCAAACACTGTCCAAGGTCCAAACCTCATCCAAGGTCCAAACCTCATCCAAGGTCCAAACCTCATCCAAGGTCCAAAGAGTGTTGAAGATCCAAACTTTATCCAAGATCCAACCATCCTCCAACATGCAAACCTCATCCAAGATCCAAACATTATCCCAGGTTCAGCCCTCATCCAAGATCCAACCATCCAAGATCATTATCCAAGATCCAACCATCATCCAAGATCCAAATCTCATCCAAGGTCCAACCATCATGCACGATCCAACCATGATCCAAGATCCAACGCTCATCCAAGATCCAACCATCATTCAACATCCAAACCTTATCCAAGGTCCAACCCTCATCCAAGATCCAATCATTCTCCAAGGTCCAACCATCATCCAAGGTCCAACTGTGATCCAAGGTCCAAACACTGTCCAAGATCCAAAACTCACTCATCCAAGATCCAGCCACCATCTAAGTCCAGGAACCGCTTCAGGAACTCACTCCCAGCAGCGCCATTTTCCAAACCTCATCCCAAACCCCTCCCAAAGTGTCTCTGGAAAAACCAGTCCTGAACATCCCGGCTCCCCCGCCCTCCTGCTCCGGCCGGGAAGCTACGTCAGCTTCCTCATCCTGCGGTTCTGCCGCTCGATGGTGAGCGTGGCACGATCCACGGAGCTGCCGATGGAATCCAGGGCCTCGTCCTGCCGCTCCAGCTCCGCCTCCGTCTCCAGGGCCAGGCCCTTGAGCTTCTTCAGGATCTGCCGTGGGAAACACGGAGAGCTCGCGGTGAGGGCTTGGGAGCAATGGGATAATTCATGGAATGACATCCCAGAATCCCAGAATTTGGGGGATTGGGAGCAATGGGAAAATTCATGGACTGACATCCCAGAATCCCGGAATTTGGGGGCTTGGGAGCAATGGGAAAATTCATGGATGACATCCCAGAATCTGGGGGCTTGGGAGCAACGGGAAAATTCATGGATTGACATCCCAGAATCCCAGAATTTAGGGGCTTCAGAGAAATGGGATAATTCATGGACTGACATTCCGGAATCCCAGAATTTGGGGGCTTGGGAGCAATGGGAAAATTCATAGATGACATGCCAGAATCTGGGGGCTTGGGAGCAATGGGATAATTCATGGACTGATATCCCAGAATCCCAGAATTTGGGGGCTTGGGAGCAATGGGATAATTCATGGACTGATATCCCAGAATTTGGGGGCTTCAGAGAAATGGGATAATTCATGGATTGACATCCCAGAATCCCGGAATTTGGGGGCTTGGGAGAAATGGGATAATTCATGGAATGACATCCCAGAATCCCAGAATCTGAGGGCTTGGGAGCAATGGGAAAATTCATGGAATGACATCCCAGAATCCCGGAATTTGGGGGATTGGGAGAAATGGGATAATTCATGGACTGACATCCCAGAATCCCGGAATTTGGGTGCTTGGGAGAAATGAGAAAATTCATGGATTGACATCCCAGAATCTCAGAATCTGGGGGCTTGGGAGAAATGAGAAAATTCATGGAATGACATCCCAGAATCCCAGAATTTGGGGGCCTCGGAGAAATGGGATAATTCATGGACTGACATTCTGGAATCCCAGAATTTGGGGGCTTGGGAGCAATGGGAAAATTCATGGATGACATGCCAGAATCTGGGGGCTTGGGAGCAATGGGAAAATTCATGGATGACATCCCAGAATCTGGGGGCTTGGAAGCAATGGGAAAATTCATGGACTGATATCCCAGAATTTGGGGGCTTGGGAGCAATGGGAAAATTCATGGATGACATCCCAGAATCCCAGAATCTGGGTGGGAAGGGACCTTAAGGATGATCCAGTTCCAAGCAGGGACACCTCCCACCATCCCAGGTGGATCCAACCTGGCCTTGGACATTCCAGGGATCCAGGGGCAGCCACAGCTGCTCTGGGAATTCCATCCCAGCCCCTCCCCACCCTCCCAGCCAGGAATTCCTTCCCAGCATCCCATCCATCCCTGCCCTCTGGCAGGATATTTTTCCCATTAGAAAAAAAACTAAATAAATTAAAATCAAATAAAATCAAGGAAACAAAGTGTAAAAGAAAGAATAAAATTTTAAAAATTAAAATAAATTCTAAAAATTAAAATAACATAAATAAAATAAAGAAAAATCAAACACATGCAATTTAAAAAGAATAAAATCAAAAATTTAAAACAATTATATTTTAAAAATAAATAACATAACATAAATAACACAAATAATAGAAATAAAATTAAAATAAAAATAAAAGAAAACAAAATAAAATAAAATAAAATTTAAAATAAAAAATGGAAAATAATTCTATAAAAAATAAAATAACATAACATAACAAACATAAATTAAAAAAATAAAAATAGTAAAATATAAATAACAATTAAACTATAAATAAAATTAAATAACATTAAATAACATTAAATAACATAAATTTAAAAATAATTTAAAAATAAAAAAATAATATTAAATTAAATAAAACCAAAATAAATTCCTGTAAAATACCATAAAATACCATCCAATAAAATAGCTGGAAAACTGCAGGCAAATGAATTAGCAAAGAATTCCAAAAAAATAAAAAGTCAAAGGGAAAAAAATAAAAAGAGGCCCCTCAGCTTGGGAAGGACCTGGGGACACTGAGCACATCCAGAGGGGACAAGGAGGCTGCAGAGGGGCTGGGAACACAAACCCTGGGAGGAAGCCCTGAGGGAGCTGGGGGTGCTCAGCCTGGAGCAAAGGAGACTCAGGGCTGCCCCCATCACTCTCTGCAGCTCCTGAAAGGGGCCTGTGCTCAGCTGGCCCTGGGCTCTTTCTGCAGCAGCACTGACACAACCAGAGCACACAGCCTCAAGCTGCACCAGGGCAAGTTTAGGTTGGTGTGGAAACCCAGGGCACTGGGAATGTTTCTGTGTCTGCTCTGGGCTGCCCTGACCCCCAGGGCAGCACTGACTCTGACCCTCATCCATGGAGAAAGTTCCCCAGACTTCAAGATAGACTGGAACCCACAAAAGTGTGCAATAGATTATAGAGAGCAGTGCAGGTGTGTCACTGGGTGAGAAATTGAGGTTTGGGGTTTTTAGTGTGTTGTGGATGGAAGCAGATGGAGGGCACAGGGTGTCATCCTGGGTTTCTGCTCCATGCTTCTTCTTCCTCCTTCTCCATGGGTTTGGGTGGCATTTTGTAATTGGGCAGAAAAGTCCCCATTGCAGCTCTGTGGGATCAGTGATTGGGTTCAAAGGGAAAATAATCCAGGTGTCAGCTCTTCATTGGACAGTTTAGTCTGAGAAGGCCTTGGAACAAGAGATTGTGGCCATTTTGTGCCTTCTAATGAAAAGCTGCTGAACTCCCAGCAGTGAGGCTGTTTTACTGATAAGAAATAATAAACACCTGAGTGTGAACATGAACTACTGTCTCAAGTGCCTTCAATGCAGACCCAGAGAAACCCACAACTGGAACAGCCACAGGTTGGATATCAGGGAAAAGTTTTTCACAGGAAGAGTGAGAAAGTTCTGGAATGGCTGCCCAGGGAGGTGGTGGAGTCCCCATGCCTGGGTGTGTTTAACAAAGCCTGGATGTGGCACTGGGGGCCAGGGTTTGGTTGAGCTGTTGGGGCTGGGTTGGACTCTGTGACCTTGAAGGTCTCTTCCAACCTGGTCATTCTGGGAATTCTGGGAATTCTGGGAATTCCATCCCCATTTTTACCTGTCGGAGCTCCTTGGCTTCCTCCTGGGATATTTTCTGCAGCTGCAGCTGCTCCTTGTCCGGCCCTTCGGCGCTTCCCGCCGGCAATCCGGGATTCACCGCGGCTCCCAGGAATCCCGTGGCTGCCAGAGAAATTCCACATTAAGGAAAAATTCCTGCCTGGAAAGGAGGGGGAGCTTCAGGAACTCCCAGAGAAGCTGGGGAATCCCTGGGAATGTCCAAGGGTAGCTTGGGATAATGGAATCGCTGCTCATGGAATCCTTAAGGATTGTTCTGGAATTCTGGGATAAAAGCAGCTGAGCTGTGCTTTGCTCCATGGGAATTTGGGAATGCCCAGGATCCAATTTTTCCCATTAAATTCTGGTTTTCTGGGAATATTCAAACTGCATTCCTTACAATTTTTCTTCATTTTTCTCTTTTTTAAAATTGTCTCTTTATTTTTTCTTCATTTAATTGTATTTCATTTTATTTATGTTATTTTTATTTTTATGCTATTTATGTTATTTTATTTTCTTTTATAAATAATTATTTTTTAAATTTTATTTCTTACTTAGGGAGCCTTTGGAAAATGGGATTATTTGGAATGTGGGGATTCATGGGAATTCTCAGCTGGTTTTTGGGATAAAATTGGATCAAAGCTGTTCCAAAATTTCAGTGTTTATCCCAAAAAAAAACAACCACTGGGAAAAAGTGCAAAGCAGCTAAAAAAATCCAGATTGTTGTTGTTGTTATTATTAACATTAATAAATAATTAATAATATTTTTAATAAAATACCCAGTAAGGATTGGATAAAAAATAATTCCCTAAATTACTTTTCCACATGGAAGGAAGCCAAAATGGACTTTTTTGAGAATTTCTATAAATTCAGGCATAAACTGAAGGCAGGGTTGGTGTAAACAAAAGGTGCAAGGATTGTGGCAGTTTTGAAGGAAAATTCAGAATTTTCCCAGAGATTTCCATGCCCTGCAGGGTTATTTATCCCAAAAATCCTTGGATCAATTCCCTATTGGAAAACACAGAGAGGGGAACAGAAAAATCTATTTTTTCCCCCTCCTGATTTGAGAAAAAGGTAAAAAATAAGGAAAAAAATCAGTTTTCCATGGAAGAATCCCAAAGGCTCCCACACAGTCCGTGAGCGCCACCTTGTGACGGAACGGGAACGGTGACAAATCCAAGGAAAACGCAGGAAAACCTGGAAAACCAGGATTTCCATCAGCTCCCTTCTGCTTCCCAAGGTTTTCTAAATTAACCAGGGAAGGAGAACAAAATCCAGCTGGAAAACAGCAGGAAAACCTCTGGAAAAGGGCTGGAGATCCAATTATTTCCTGGAATTCCATCAGGAACTGGGAATTTTTTGGGATAACAGGAAATTACAGAGGCCAGAATTTACTTCCTTAAAAATCCAGCAGCTTTTCCAAGCCGGAATATTGCTCAAAACCAGGATATTCCCCTTCCCTGCTGGAATTCCAACCAGAAATTGGTGGATTTATGAATTTATCCCAATTTTCCAGTTGGTTTTGGCTCTGGATCCATCTTCTCTTTGCTCCTTTGGGATTAAAAATTAGGAAAAAAAAAAAAAAAAAAAAAAGGATTCAGGGATGTTGGGAGGAATAAATTCCAAGCTGTTGAAAATTCCAAGACTGGGTTAAAAAAAACCCATCCTGGAATTTTAGGATTAATAGTAGGGAATATCAAATTTCTTGTTGGGAATTTTCAGTCTCCAAAGTTTTCTTAAAATTATTCCAAAATCTCAGGAATTCCCACACCTGGACTTGTCTAATATCAAAATCCTGGGGTTTTTAATATGGGGAAAATAAGGTTTATCCCATGTTTTAATTCAAGATTCCAGGATATCTGGGAAAAGTGTTCAGGATTTAAGGGAATTAAAGGTTTAATATAAATATTGGATATGGGATATTGGATATTAAATATGGGATATTGGATATTGGAAATTGGATATTTGATATGCAATGTGGGATATGGAATATGGGATACTGGACATGGGATACTGGATATAGGATATTGAATATGGGATATTCGATATGGGATATTGGATATGGGATATTAATTCTTGGATATGGGATATTAGAAATAGGATGTGAGATATCAAATATTGGATATTTGATATGGGATATTAAACATTGACTATGGAATATTGGATATTACACACCGAATATTGGATATTGACTACTGGATATGGGATATTAAATATTGGATATCAAATACTGGGTATTATTTATTGGATATTGGATATGGAATATTGGATATTAAACTTTGGCTACAGAACATGGAATATCCATTATTAAATGCTGGATACCAGATATGAAATATTGGCTATGGGATATTAAATAGGGGATACTGAATATTGGATGTTGGATATTAAATATTGGATATGGAATACTGGATATGGAATATTGGATACTGGCTATTGGACATTGAATACTGACTGCCAGATATGGGATATTGGATATTAAATACTGGGTATTTTTTAATGGACATTAATTATTGACTATTGGATATGGAATATTGGATATTAAATATTGGCTATAGAACATGGAATATCCATTATTAAATGCTGGATACCAGATATGAAATATTGGCTATGGGATATTAAATAGGGGATACTGAATATTGGATATTGAATAATAAATATTGGATATTAAATACTGGATATGGAATATTGGATACTGGGTATTGGATATTGAATACTGACTAGTGGATATGGGATAATGGATATTAAATACTGGGTATTTTTTATTGGGTATTAATTATTGGGTATTGGATATGGAATATTGGATATTGGAAACTTTGGCCACAGAACATGGAATATCCATTATTAAATGCTGGATACCAGATATGAAATATTGGCTATGGGATATTAAATAGGGGATACTGAATATTGGATGTTGGATATTAAATATTGGATATGGAATACTGGATATGGAATATTGGATACTGGCTATTGGATATTGAATACTGACTGCCAGATATGGGATATTGGATATTAAATACTGGGTATTTTTTAATGGACAGTAATTATTGACTATTGGATATGGAATATTGGATATTAAATATTGGCTATAGAACATGGAATATCCATTATTAAATGCTGGATACCAGATATGAAATATTGGCTATGGGATATTAAATAGGGGATACTGAATATTGGATATTGAATAATAAATATTGGATATTAAATACTGGATATGGAATATTGGATACTGGCTATTGGATATTGAATACTGACTAGTGGATATGGGATATTGGATATTAAATACTGGGCATCAATTATTGGGTATTAATTATTGGCTATTGGATATGGAATACTGGATATTAAACATTGGCTACAGAACATGGAATATCCACTATGAAATACTGGATACCAGATATGGAACATTGGATATGGGATATTAAATACTGGGTATTATTTACTGGGTATTAATTATTGGGAATTGGATATGGAATATTGGATATTAAATATTGGCTATAGAACATGGAATATCCATTATTAAATGCTGGATACCAGATATGAAATATTGGCTATGGGATATTAAATAGGGGATACTGAATATTGGATATTGAATAATAAATATTGGATATTAAATACTGGATATGGAATATTGGATACTGGCTATTGGATATTGAATACTGACTACTGGATATGGGATATTGGATATTAAATACTGGGTATTATTTATTGGGTATTAATTATTGGGTATTGGATATGGAATATTGGATATTGGAAACTTTGGCCACAGAACATGGAATATCCATTATTAAATGCTGGATACCAGATATGAAATATTGGCTATGGGATATTAAATAGGGGATACTGAATATTGGATGTTGGATATTAAATATTGGATATGGAATACTGGATACTGGCTATTGGATATTGAATACTGACTGCCAGATATGGGATATTGGATATTAAATACTGGGCATCAATTATTGGATATTAATTATTGGCTATTGGATATGGAATACTGGATATTAAACATTGGCTACAGAACATGGAATATGCACTGTGAAATACTGGATACCAGATATGGAACATTGGATATGGGATATTAAATACTGGGTATTATTTATTGGATATTAATTATTGGCTATTGGATATGGAATATTGGATATTAAACATTGGCTACAGAACATGGAATATCCACTGTGAAATACTGGATACCAGATATGGAACATTGGATATGGGATATTAAATATGGGATACTGAATACTGAATATCAGATGTTGGACACGGGTTACTGGATATGGAATATTGGATATGGAATATTGGATACTGGCTTTTGGATATTGAATACTGACTGCCAGATATGGGATACTGGATATGAAATACTGGGTGTTAATTATTGGATAGTAATTATTGGGTATTGGATGTTAAATACTGGATATTGGATATGGGATATTAAATATGGGATAGTGAATATTGAATACTGGATACTGGATATGGGATACTGGATATTGGCTATTGAATACTGACTACCAGATTTGGGATACTGGATATTAAATAGCAGTTATTATTTATTGGATATTAATTATTGGGTATTGGATAGCAATTCTTGGATGTTAATTATTGGCTATTGAATATTGGATATTCCCTTCCAGCTGGGAATTATCTCCAGGAAAAGCAGCAGCAGTGCCAAAGGCTCTGAAGTCCCCTGCAGTTTATTCCTTAGATTTATCATGGACTCACTCACCATGGCCTCTGGAATATTCCTTGGAAAAACCTTTGGAGCCTGGAACCCCCTGGCACCCACCTACCTGCCAGATGGACATTCCCAAATCTGCCTGATATTGAACAGTGGATACTGGACATGGGATACTGGATATCAAACACTGGATATTGGACATTAAACACTGGATACTGGATATTAAACACTGGATACTGGATATTAAACACTGGATATTGGACATTAAACACTGGACATTGGATATTAAACATTGGATACTGGACATTAAACACTGGATATTGGATATTAAACACTGGATACTGGATATCAAACACTGGATAGTGAATATTAAACACTGGATAGTGGATATTAAACACTGGATAGTGAATATTAAACACTGGATACTGGACATTAAACACTGGACACTGGACATTAGATAAGGGACACTGGATATTAATTATTGGGTATTCATTATTGGCTATTGAATATTCCCTTCCAGCTGGGAATTAACTCCAGAAAAAAAAGGCTCTGAATGTACTTGGAGTTTATTCCTTGGATTTACCCTCACCATGGGCAAATCCACCATGCCCTGAGTCACGCACCATGACTCACCATGGGCAAATCCACCCTCTCCATGGGCAAATCCACCATGCAGGGCCAGTTTGCCTCTGGGAATACTCCTCGGAAAAAACCTTTGGAGCCCGGAACCCCCTGGCACCCACCTGCCTGCCAGATGGACGTCCCCAGATCCGCCTGAGGGGACTTCCTGGCTCCGGCAAATCCAAGGGCATCCTCCAAGAACTGGATTTTCTTGCTGAACTGCACCTGGAGGACGGGGATGGCCTCGGGCATGCGCGCGGCCAGGAGCCGGTAGGAGGTGTCGGGTTTGCCGATGAACCTCTGCCGGACGCTGATCTCGTAGGGAGTGTGCACCCAGATGTCATCCACGTCGCGGGCCTCGAAGCGGTGCAGGAGCTGGGAATTGCAATCCTGGATCTCCAGGCCCGAGGGAAGCAGCGTGAGTTTGCCGGGTTTGGCGCTGGAGTCTGTCCTGTGGGTGATGATCACCGGGATCCGCAGCAGGATTCCCTCCTGGCTTCTGGGATCCGCAGCCGCGGGGGTTTCCTTGGGCTTCGCTTCCACGGGCGTTTTCCAGAGTTTGGTGCTGAAGGGCCACCAGGAGGGAGATTCCAGCTCTGTTAACAGCCTGGAGGAGGGAAGGGAGGGTTGGGAGAGGGAAAAGCTCTGGATATTCCAGCAGCTCCAAGAAAATCCCCACAGACACGGGAATTCCTTAATCCCTCCTCAAACGCATCCACAATTTCCCAGGATGCAGGCGGTTCAAACGCCACCTTCTCCTCATAATCCATTGGAAAAACTCCCAGAATCCCAGCTGGGAATTAAGAAATGGAACTGGATTTTTCCAGGTCCCTTTCCATGTATGTATTCCTCAATATTCCCACTCCTGCCCATCTATCACCACTTCCAAGGCCTTTTCCTGCTCCTTTTCCTCACCCCCTCAGCCTGATGCCACTTTTTCCTTTGCTCCTTACCCAAATCCCCAGATAAAACACTAAAAATTCCAGCTTGAGGCTCCAAATTCCAGCAGAAACTTCCCAGAAGTGTCCAGACCCCACCTTTCCATCAGTTTTGGGGCAGCTCCCTAAGGAAAACATTCCCAGCAAACAGGGGAGGGAGCCAGGGCTGGAACTGTTCAGGTTCAGCTCCTGCTCCGAGGGCAAGGAAAATATTCCCCTTTTTTTTCAAAGGAAAACCAACAATAATCAGCCCAAAAATCCCAATTGAATCCCGTTTTCATTCCCTGTTTTAAGTCCATTAAAATTTTGGGATACTCCCAGGAATTCCCTGCTCCATAAATTCAATAAAACTGGGAAGAGCCCTCTGGAATTCCCTGCTGCAGCTCCGAGCTGGGTAATGTTTGGCCACCCTTGAATCCGTGGAATCCCAAGTCCCTTCCCACACCCCGAGTCCCTTCCCACTCCTCTCCTCTCCTCGTGCTCCAGAGCTGCATTCCCCTCACTCCTGCTGGAATTTTATCCAGAGGGCTCCAAGATAAGGAAACACTTGGCACAAATATTCCCCAGGAGCCCTGGCTGCTCCCTGGCTGTTGGAATATTGGATATTCCAATCCTGCCACGAGCTCGCCCAAAATTCCCAATTTTGGCTTCTTTCCTTCCTTCCCATTCAATCCAAAGTGTTTTAAAGGCTTGGAGATATTCCTAGAAAATCAAAGCAAAGGATTCCCAGGGAAGCTGTGGGGGAAAAGGGAGGGAAGAAAAGAGGGTGGGAAAAGGGAAAAAAGGCAGGAGAGGAAAAAAGGGAGGGAAAATACAGAGGGAAACAAAAATGGTGGGGGGAAATCATGAGGGACAAAAATGGTGAGGGAAAAAGGGCAGAAAAGAAAAAAAGAGCAGGAAGATAGGGAAGGGAAAAAACAGAGGGAAACAAAAATGGTGGGGGAAAAAATCGTGAGGGAAAAACGGTGGGGAAAAAAGGGCGGGAAGGAAAAGGCAGGAAAGAAGCTGGCACAGCTCTGGATTTCCCAGGAATGGCAGCAGGGATGGGCACTGCAGACTCTGCTCTTATCCCAGTTTTATTCCTATGGAATAGGGCACAGGCTGGAGGAAGGAGATTGGGGCACTCCTGAATTCCCAGAGCTGAATTCCCAACATCTCCTGAGCCCATGGACACAAAGGCTTGGACTGGAAGGGATCCTAAGGATGATCCCAGTCCATGGGCAGGGAATTCCCACTGCCCCAGGCTGCTCCAGCCTGGCCTTGGGCACTGCCAGGGATCCAGGGGCAGCCACAGCTGCTCTGGGAATTCCATCCCAGCCAGGAATTCCCAATTCCCAATCTCCCATCCATCCCTGCCCTCTGGCACTGGGAGCCATTCCCTGGCTCCTGTCCCTCCAGGCCTTGTCCCCAGTCCCTCTCCAGCTCTCCTGGAGCCCCTCCAGGCCCTGCCAGGGGCTCTGAGCTCTCCCTGGATTTTTCCCTCCTCCAGGGGAACATTCCCAACTCCCTCAGTGTTTCCTCATGGAGCTGCTCCATCTTTCCAATGAAAAATCCACAGTTTCATTTCCCAAAGCCCTCCCCCAGGAATTCCAGGCCCCCCAAACCATTCCCAGCTCCGGGAACGCTCCCATTCCAAACCTGTCAGCCACATCCATGTCCCCCTCGATCTTGTGGAGTCCCCTCATGATGTTGTCGAACTGTTCCCCCTGGGAATGCAGCACCTTGGCCGTGTCCTCCAGGCGTTTCTGGGACCCCTCCAACATTCCCGTTAATTCCTTGCCCTTGCTGGATTCCAAGGCCGCTCCCGCTCCGGCCTCCTGGCTGGACAGCAGCTGCTCCCTCCAGAAATGCTCCAGGATGTTGAACACCACATTCCTGTTGGGATGCAGGGAGCTGAACCAGTGCTTGGTGCCTTTCTCCAGGATGGTGAGGGAGCTGAAGATTAAATGGGAAGATTCCTTCTTGATCTCGCCGATCCCGGAAAGACGGAAATCCACCAGGAGCTCTCCCGTTTTGTCAGCCGTGAATTTGATGGAAGCGGGAGTCAGGGCGAGCTTCCCAGGGATCCATTGTTTGCTGGTGTCCAGGTAGTAGGAGCAAGGCCAGGAGTGGATCCAGATGTCCTCGTTCATCAGCTCGCTCTTCCCGGCCTCCTCCCCCAGGGAAACGCTCTCCAATCCAGCAGGAGACACTAAAATCCAAGGGGGAAAAGCAGGAATCCTGAATAAACACACGTGAACCGATCCTGGCTCTTTTCAGCTGGATGTCCAAGGAATTTGGGAAGCATTTCTAACCACAGGAATATTCACTCTGGAAAAGCCCATCATGCATTTTCTCAATAATTCCATTCACATCCCGCAATATTCCCATTCCTATCTCATCTCAGCTTCCCACAGATCAACAGGCACCGAGGAAAATCCACAATATCCCAAAATTCCAGATTTCCTCTGGAAAGGGCTGTCAACATCACTGGCCACCCCATGTTCCCGAGAATTCCATTCACATCCTGCAATATTCCCATTCCCAGCTCATCTCATCTTCCCACAGACCAACGAGCACTGAGGAAAATCCACGATATCCCAAAATTCCAGATTTCCTCTGGAAAGGGCTGTCAATATCACTGGCCATGCATTTTTCCAAGAATTCCATTCATATCCTGGAACATTCCCATTCCTATCTCATCTCAGCTTCCCATAGATCAACAGGCACCGAGGAAAATCCACAATATCCCAAAATTCCAGATTTCCTCTGGAAAACCCCATCAATATCACTGGCCATGTATTTTCCCAATAATTCCATTCATATCCTGGAATATTCCCATTCCTCTTACCTCGGTTTACCACAGGCCAGCAAGTACTAAGGGAAATCCAGGACATCCCAAAATTCCAGATTTCCTCTGGAAAGGGCTGTCAGCATCACTGGCCACCCCATGTTCCCAATAATTCCATTCATAACCTGGAATATTCCCATTCCCAGCTCATCTCAGCTTCCCACAAACCAATGAGCACTGAGGAAAATCCAGGATATCCCAAAATTCCAGATTTCCTCTGGAAAGAGCTGTCAGCATCACTGGCCACCCCATGTTCCCGAGAATTCCATCCATATCCTGGAATATTCCCATTCCCAGCTCATTTCATCTTCCCACAGACCAACGAGCACTGAGGAAAATCCACAATATCCCAAAATTCCAGATTTCCTCTGGAAAACCCCATCAACATCACTGGCCATGCATTTTTCCAAGAATTCCATTCATATCCTGGAATATTCCCATTCCCAGCTCATCTTGGTTTCCCACAAACCAACAGACACAGATGAAAATCCAGGATAGCCCAAAATTCCAGATTTCCTCTGGAAAGAGCTGTCAACATCACTGGCCATGCATTTTTCCAAGAATTCCATTCATATCCTGGATTATTCCCATTCCCAGCTCATCTCAGCTTCCCACAGACCAACGAGCACTGAGGAAAATCCCGGATATCCCAAAATTCCAGCTCACCCATATTTACAAATCCCTGCTCTTTCCCCTTCCCCTCTGGCATCTCAAATCCAGGCACATTAAACACATTGCAGGAATTCTCCTGGAACTGTCAATATTCCTTACAAATTCCCAGTATTCTCCAGGAATTCCCAGTATTCTCTGGGATTTGTCAATCTTCTCCAGGAAATCCCAGCATTCTCCAGGATTTGTCAATATTCCTCGCAAATTCCCAGTATTCTCTGCTTATTCCCAGTATTCCCCAGGATTTGTCAATATTTTCCAGGAAATCCCAATATTCTCTAGGAAATCCCAAAATTCCCCAGGAATTCGCACTATTCTCTGCAAATTCCCAGTATTCCATAGGAAATCCCAGTATTCTCAAGGATTTGTCAATATTCTCCAAGAAATCCCAGAATTCCCCAGGAAATCCCAGTATTCTCCAGGAATTCCCAGAATTCCCCAGGAAATCCCAGTATTGTCCAGGAAATCCCAATATTCTCCAGGAAATCCCAGTATTCCCCAGCAATTCCCAAAATTCCTCATGAATTCCCAGTATTTTCCAAGATTTGTCAATATTCTCCATGAATTCCCAGTATTCTCCAGGAATTCCTAGTATTCTCTGGAATTTGTAAATATTCTCCAGCAATTCCCAGTATTCTGCAGGAAATCCCAATATTTTCCGGGAATTCCCAAAATTCTCCAGGAATTCCTTCTGTCCAAACAATCCCAGCTTCGGAATGGGCAATTCCACCCCTGGAATGGCTTCTCTCCACCCTTCCAGAAGTTTCTTGGGTCCAAGGGTTGGAATTTTCCTGGAATGTCTTCCTCATGGCTGTGGTTTCCAGCACCGAGGCCTGCTTCCATCCCATAATTAATTTGGGAATGCTGATGACATCACTGGGAATTCCTCCATGATCCATCATCTTCTCCAAGGCTTGGATATTCCAGGAGCTCTGGAATTCTGCTGCGCCATTAATGAGATTCCCACTCATTGCCCTCCTTAATTCCAGCCCAATCCTCCAAGAAAAGTTGAGGAATTCTCAGGAAAACAAAAAATTCCTTCTTCAGGAATGCTGAATTCCTGATCCCACCCTGAGATCTCCCAGTGTTTTCAGGCTGCTCCATCATTAATTCCTTAAAAAGTCCAGTTCCAGAGATTTTTTTAAATTATTGTTTTTAATAAATAATTTTAATTATTATTTTTAATAACTATTTTAAAATTAAATAATTTTAAAATTGTTTATTTTAATTAAATACATTCAATATTCCCATATAATTAAGATGAAGATTAGTCCATGCTATATCCCAAAAAAATCCTTTATTTGCTTTCCATCCCTTATTTCCATGGATTTTTAAGAACTTTTTTTCATTATCAATTTCAGAGATGAAATGGAAAAAAGAAATCAGCCATAAATTGGTAAAAAAATTGGAATTTAAAGTGAAAATTCTCCACCTCTTTTGATCCAATAAATCCACAACCCTCAAGAAAACTGTGGGAAAAGAGGAAGCAAAATCCCAGGAAAATTTGATTTCAAGGAGTGGTTGCAGCCAAGTTTTCAGCAAGGAAAAAAATTCCAAAGGAAAACAAAATCAAGGCTGTTCCCAACATGAAAATTCCTTTAATAATCAAGGATTTATATTTAATAAATTAAAAAGAAGCTCTTCCTGAGCCTTATCCCAAGTTTCTTATCTGGATTTGCATCCATGGAATTTTCAGGGAGGAATTTTCGTCCTCAGGGATTTTTTTCCAAAGTTTTCACCAAGGAAAAATTTCTAAAGACAAACACAGCTGAGGCTGTTCCCAAAATGAAAATTCCTTAAAATATAATGGATTTATTTCATAATAAATTAACATAAGATCTTTTTGATCCTTAATCCAAGTTTATTACCTGGATTTGGATCCATGGAATTCTCAAGGAGGAATTTTTTCCCAAGTTTTCACCACGGAAAAAAATTCTAAAGGAAAATTTAACTGAGGCTGTTCCCAAAATGAAATTATTTTAAAAAAAAAATCAAGGATTTAAATCTCATTATAAATTAAAAAGAAGCTCTTCCTGAGCCTTATCCCAAGTTTCTTATCTGGATTTGCATCCATGGAATTTTCAGGGAGGAATTTTCTCCCTTAAGGATTTTTTCCAAAGTTTTCACCAAGGAAAAATTTCTAAAGACAAATACAGCTGAGGGTATTCCCAAAATGAAATTCCTTAAAAAAAAAATCAAGGATTTAAATCTCATTATAAATTAAAAAGAAGCTCTTCCAGAGCCTCATCCCAAGTTTCTTACCTGGATTTGGATCCATGGAATTCTCCAGGACCATTTTCCCCCCTCAGGGAGGAATTTTTCCCCCTCAGGGATTTCTTTTTTTTTCTCTTCAAGTTTTGAGAAAAACGAACTTGAAACTGAAGGCAAACGCAGCGGAGGCCGTTCCCAGAATGAGAATTCCTTAAAAATCCAGGATTTGTTCAGAGTCAGGAAGGAATGCAAGGGCAGCAGGGCAGAGCCGGCACTTCCCGGGTTTTGTACCGGGATTTGTCTCTGCTCCTGTGACTCCTGACTCACCTGGCAGCCCGAGCTTTACTCAGCTCCTTGCTGGGCCCGGGGGCAAATTCCCAAGGAAAATTCCAGCTGGGAATTAAATCCTTTATTTCCCAAGGAAAATTCCAGCTGGGAATTAAATCCTTTTTTCCCAAGGAAAAATCCAGTTGAGAACGAAATCCTTTTTTTTCTTTTCCAAGCAAAAATCCAGCTGGGAATGGATTCCTTTATTTCCCAAGGAAAAATCCAGTTGGGAATTAAATCTTTTTTCTTTTCCAAGGAGAAATCCAGTTGGGATTTAAATCCTTTTTTTTTTTCAAGGAAAAATCCAGCTGGGATTTAAATCCCTTTTTTTTTTCAATGAAAAATCCAGTTGGGAATGAAATCCTTTATTTCCCAAGGAAAAATCCAGTTGGGAATGAAATCCTTTTTTCCCAAGGAAAAATCCAGTTGGGAACGAAATCCTTTTTTTTTTTCCCAAGAAAAAAAGCAATTGGGAATTAAACCCTTTTTTTTTTTCCCTTTCTCCCATGGAAAAATCCAGTTGGAAATGAAATTATTTTTTCTTTTTCAAGGAAAAATCCAGTTGGGAAAGAAATCCTTTTTGTTTACAAGGAAAAACCCAGTTGAGAATGGAATCTTTTTTTTATTGCAAGGAAAAATCGAGTTGGGAATTAAATCCTGTTTTTTTTCCACAAGAAAAAAAAAGCAATTGGGAATTAAATCCTATTTTTTTTTCCTTTTTCCCAAGGAAAAATCCAGTTGGGAATTAAATCCTTTTTTTTTCCCAAGGAAAAATCCAGAGGGGAACGAAATCCTTTTTATTTTTCCCCAAGGAAAAATCCAGTTGGGAATTAAACCCTTTTTTTTTTCCTTTCTCCCAAGGAAAAATCCAGTTGGAAATTAAATTCTTTTTTCTTTTCCAAGGAAAAAAATCCAGTTGGGAATGAAATCCTTTATTTCCCAAGGAAAAATCCAGTTGGGAATTAAATCCTTTTTTTTTCCCAAGGAAAAATCCAGTTGGGAATTAAATCCTTTTTTCCCAAGGAAAAATCCAGTTGGGAATGAAATCCTTTATTTCCCAAGGAAAAATCCAGTTGGGAATTAAATCCTTTTTTCCCAAGGAAAAATCCAGTTGGGAATTAAATCCTGGGTTTTTTCTCCAAGGAAAAAA